GGCCGCTCCTCTCAACCAGGCCCCGGCGCAGGAGGGGACCCAGAGCTGCCTGTGGGGGAGGGGACACAGGGGGAGGGGGGGTCAGCCCCTCCCCCTCACACCTTTGGGGTGGCACAGTGGGGGGAGGGGCAGCCCCGGGTCACTCACCGGGGTCAGGCCGTGGTCACAGAGGGGCTGGGCCTCCTGCAGCAGCTCCGCCTCTGGGAGGGGCTCTGCGTGCTGGGGGAGGGGCTTTGGGTGAGGACGGAGGGGGGGCAGGGGTTTGAACCCCTCCCCCACCCCCAGGTGTGTCCCCTCCCCCTCACCTGGCTCAGGATCTGCAGCAGGGCGTGGCTCCCGGAGCGGGGGAGGGGCCGGCGATGACGGCGCTGGGTGAAGGGGGAGGGGCCGAGATTGGGGGCGGGGCCTCCTCCGCCCCTCCCCCCCCCAATGGGAGACCTGTGGGGTGGGGGAGGGGTGGAGGATGGGACTCACCTTGGGCGGGGCTGGGGGAGGGTCTGGGCACCGCCCCTGGGGCGGGGGCGTGGCGGGGAGCTGCTGCTCTGCGGTATGCAAATGAGATGCAAATGAATATGTAAATTAGTCGCATAAACCCCACCCACCACCAAAGCCACGCCCAGAACCCCCCACCCCCCGAGGCCCCACCCACTCCGAGCCCCACCCAATCAGCTCCCTCCCCTTTAGGCCCCGCCCCTTCAGGCCCCGCCCACCCTGCCGGTGCTGCCGCAGCCGTTGGTCGAGGCGGGCGCAGAGGGCGGGGCCAAAGTGCTGCAAGATGGCGGCGGAGCGGCCGGAACGGAGCGGGAGCGGGAACAGGGCCAGGGAGCGCAGGGCCTGGGGGGAAACACACCTGAGACACACCTGAGACACACCTGGGGAACCCCAGATACACCTTAGGGTACCCCAAATCCACCTGGGGACCCCCAAACCCCCACCCAGGCACCTCCAAATCCAGCCGGGGACCCCAGACTCGCCCACGTGGGGAGCCCTAAATCCAACCGGGCACCCCCCCCGCACCTTACCCTCTCATAGGTGCCCCTCGCCCACGTTCCCTGCGCCTCGTCCCGCCACTCCCGGAGCCAGCGGGCGAACAGGGGGTTGGGGTGGGCGCGGGGGCGGCGGCGGCGCCGGGAGGAGGCGGAGGAGGCGGCGGCCATGATTGAATCCTCCCGCCACAGCCCTGAACCGGAAGTTCCGGGCCCCGCGGGGCCGCTCTGGCCGCGCTCGCTGAGCCGGGAGCTGCGACTCGTCTGCTCTGGAGGACCCCGCTCTGTACAGCACGGAGGCCAAACTCGTCTGCTCTGGAGGACCCCGGCCGCCCGGGCATCCTCAATCATCCCCACAACCCCAAAATCCTGCCCCCAAGCATCCCAAATCCTTCCCTGAGCTCCCCAAATCCTCCACACAACCCCAAAATCCTGCCCCCAAGCATCCCAAATCCTTCCCTGGGCTCCCCCTCCAAATGCCAGGACGTCTCCAGATGCGGCACAGCAAAACCTTTATTGTTTAGAAAATCATTTTAGAAACCAACTCGAAGGGGGCACCCCCGAAATAACACAGACCCCCCCGGGGGAGGGGGCGGCCCAAAGTAACACTAATGGCGTGGGGGGAGGCACCCCAAATGAACTCCCTGCAAGCATGGCACCCCAAAATCCCAACCTCTGGTGGGGGAAGGGGGAGGTGGGGACCCCCTTCACCCCCCCCAGGTGGTTTTGGGGTGATGGGGACGGGGTGGCACCCTGGGACCCCCCCCGGGATGAGTTTTGGGGGGGTGGCAGCACCGGTTTGGGGGTCTCAGAGGTGTGGAGGAGGTTGGGGAGGGGGTGCATGGGGAGGGGTCGGGAAGGCTTTGTGGTTGGGGGTCCCCAGATGTGATTTTGGGGTCGCTGGAGGGGGTCTGGGGAATCCCCAGCCCCTCCAGGGGGTATCTGGCAGCTGGAACTAGCCAGAAGTTCGGGGGTTTTGGGAGGTTTGGGGATTTTGGGGTGCCGGGCTGTGATCCGGGGTGCAGGGGGGGTTCGGGGGGCCCAGTTTTGGGGTCTCAGAGGAAGGCGTCGCACCACTCGCGCAGGCAGCCCGAGCAGTCGCGGCTCTGTTTGGCGTTGGCCCCGCACGTCTCCTTGAGCCACTCCCGGAACAGCTCCTCGTCCTTGCGCAGCACCAGGAACTGCCCCAGCACCACGTACGCCTGCAGGGACAGCGAGGGGACAGCGAGGGGACAGCGAGGGGACACAGCTGTCACCAGGGCGTCACTCACACCCTCCCCAGTGCCCCCCTCGCTCCCAGTCCTTGTGGTCCCCCTGTGCCCCCTCCCCTTGTCCCCAAACCCCTGGAGATGTCCCCATGTGTCCCTAAGCCCCTGGCAATGTCACTCTTTGTTCAAGCCCTTCCTCAGTGTTCCTGTGGTCCAAACCCTTCCCCAGGTGTCCCCCATGTCCCCAGGTGTCCCCCATGTCCCCAGGTGTCCCCCAGGTCCCACCTTGTCAAAGCCTTTCTCCTCCAGCTTCCTGCCCAGCACGTCCCCGATCCCAGCCAAGGTCCCCACCGGCTTCTCCCCCATCGGCTCCGCCACGAAGTCCCGGTGCTTCTGTGACGTCGAGGACATGGCGCCTGTGGGGACATGGAGGGGACACCGAGGGGACACTGAGGGGACACCGAGGGGACAGGGCGCGGTTCATGAGGGGGACACGGGGACTGGACAGGGTGAGTGACAGCGGCACAGTGTAGGGACACAGGGACAGCGTGGGGACATGGAGAGAGGCCGAGGGACACCGGGACAGGGCGGAGGGAGGGAGGGACAGCGAGGGAGGGGACAGGGACAGAGCGGGGGAGGCCTTGGGGACGCTC